GGGGGCTTGTGCGAGGACTGTGTTCTTTACAGGGGCTAATGTGATTTTGCAGGCTGAAAGCTGATCCCCAGCGGGTCTTGACTTTGTTCTTCGGTTGTGGGGTGCCTCAGGGCCACAGTCTTGGGGCCCATCGGTTGCTATCAGACCAGGAAGGGTGTGCTCTTTTATCAACAGAATGTTGTTGGATGGTTTTCTTCCAGTCTGCGTAGGGCTTTCTATGCCCGCTCCTGCTAAGAGGGGCTAGTAGGGATAGCCAGCATGGCTAGTTCTGGCATCCGGTCAGGAGAGGCTCTTCTTGAGCCATGAGTCATTTACCTCACTTGTTTCCTGGCTCTTTGACTTTCTTTACTCTTCTTTGCTTTGTATGGGGAGAGACCAATAGCCATAGCTTAGATGTCTCCAGGTAAGCTTTTAAGGCCCTGCGGATACCAAACAGAAGTGGCGCATAGAACATTGCTCTTGTGCACTGCTATGGCAATGGACATGGATTTCTCTCCATCCCATGCTCCTTAAGTTCTCAAGGCTAGTCAGTGACACAGTCTGTCAAAATGCTTGCTTCTAACTAAAAAGCTTTCAGCACTTTGCTCCCAGTAGGCTCTGCTATGTCCATGGATATACTTACAGCACATAGAGAGATGTATGTAGAAATATCTTCTCCCTTCTGCCTTCCCACATCCCCTTTCTTTGCATATCTCCAAATCTGTCATTTTCTACTGGAAATGAGGGAGTTTTCCTTCTCTGACAGTTTTCCGCCATACACAGATTTTGATTTAGTCAGTTGTCCTGTACTGGCTAAGGCTAGCTAGGAAAAATGCTACTTGAGACTCTGTGGCAGTTACAAAATCTGGTGCCAACTTGAGACTATTAAGAGTGAAGGAGTGGAGTTGAGCCTGCCAAGCAGGTTGTAGTTTGATGACCTCATTTGGAGGCGCTAAGGAGATAAATAGCTCACTGGTGGCCAGATATACACACTTACTGTGAGACATTCCTGTTGACAAGCCACATGGAGCTATGCTGATAGAGCCAGAGCCCTGGAGCTGGAGGAGCCGTGTGGAGACCCACATCAGCAATGAGATGCTTCCAGCTCCACACGATCCCCATGACTTTCCACCCACTGGCCTGTGATCATCCTGCATTCAGCATCATTGCATGGCCGTGTGAGTCTAAAGAGGAATTTATGGACTAGTATCGACATATGTGGTAATATCAGACTTATGGATTTGATCTGGACTGGACTGGAATATTTTCTTAATGTACAATTTCTCTTTGATATAAAGTTCTCTCTTACATACATTTGAGTGTCTCTGGATTTATTTCTCTAGTCAACCCAGACTAATACAAACTCTAAGTGATATCCCCCTCCATCCCCACCACCCCCCAAAAAAGAGAATGGAAAGGCATGTCGAGCATTTTATATGACATTCAAAATTGGGCACATTGAGCGCTTAAGCTGTTTCTATGAATCG